TTAAAAGCAACCTCTCCCATTCCCCTTTACCCTAAGCAAAGGCCCAGATTAAAAGAGACTTATCTTGTATGAATATTTATGCTACAGCCTCTGCCAAATCAGATTAGGGGAGTTCATCCCGCCAGGCAAACACAGGTTCTGTACTCAGATTTAATCAGAAACTGACATGTTGATAGCATATTGATGCATCCATCCATCAGGAAATCCATACAGCACAGTGAATGTGCACCGTGCATCTCGGGGCCCAGGAGAGTTGCTGTCTTTGTCACTTTTGGTTCTACTAGGAGAGCTGTTGTTGCAATGAAAGGGGTTCCAAAGACATTCTGCCTCACACCAAAGATGAGAGGTTGGGAATTCTGGTCTTAAAATGCCTGGGAAATCCCTTTCTTGACACTGCCAGGGAGTGTGTGAGACAGAGGCTGATTTCTCTACACAGCATCTTCCAAGGCGCTTCTGAAGAACCAGACGCCACAGGGTGTTAATAAGTATCATGAGAACAAAAAGCTCAGGTCAAAATGTTGGGTAAATGATGAGTTGAGCAGACTTTTTTTTTTTTTTTTTTTTAAGACGGAGTCTCACTCTTTCGCCCAGGCTGGAGTGCAGTGATGCGATCTCGGCTCACTGCTATCTCCACTTCCCGGGTTCAAGCGATTCTCCTCCCTCAGCCTCTGGAGTAGCTGGGATTACAGGTGCGCACCACCACACCCAGTTAATTTTTGTATTTTTAGTAGACAGGGTTTCACCATGTTGGCTAAGATGGTCTTGATCTCCTGACCTCGTGATCTGCCTGCCTCAGCCTCCCAAAGTGCTGGGATTACAGGAGTGAGCCACTGTGCCCAGCCCAGACTGTTTTTACTGTAGAACTTCCACCCTGTGACTTTCCAGGAAGCAAATAAATTACGCTGTGCATCCAAACTTTTTAGACTTTGGAGTTCTTCCTTCTCAAAGCACCACCCCCTCAGAGCATACAACTTTTTTGTGCCATGGAGCCCCATGGCAGGTTGGGGAAGCCTGAGGATCCCTTCTCAGAATAACATTTTCATTTTATTTTATTTTAGACAAGGTCTTGCTCTGTCAACAGGCTGCAGTGCCGTGGCAAGATCACGGCTCACTGCAGCCTTGAACTTCTAGGCTTAAGCCATCCTCCTGCCTTAGCCTCCTAAGTAGCTGAGACCACAGGCATGTGCCACTATACCCAACTAATCGTTTTGACTTTTGGTAAAGACGGGGTCTCACTGTGATACTCAGGCTGGTCTGGAACTCCTGAGCTCAAGCAGCTTTTCCACCTTAGCCTCCCAAAGTGCTGGGATTACAGGCGTGAGCCACTATGCCCAGCCAGAATAACATTTTTAAGTGCAAAAAAATAAAACACGTAGGATTACAAAGAATACCAATTCTATTAAAATAAAATATCAAAGAATATTTTGAGATATTAAAAAATGAGCATATATAAATATATGTGCTTTTTTGGGGATGTGTTAAATAACAAGATAAAAAGTTGGTTCTAGTAAGTACAGTTGTTTTAAAGTATTGATGTTTTAAAGTGTAAGATATACTTGATCCTCATGGTTCACTGATCACATATTTGTGAATTCGCCTCTTTCTAAAATTTATTTTTAACATTAATGTGTATTTGTGGCACCTTTGCAGTCATCTGTGCCCATGCACAGAGCAATGGCAAATTTGGGTTGCCCAACTAGCATGTTCCCCAGATGAGATTGGTTGGCAAGGTGAAGTTTTGCCTTTTTTTTTTTTTTTTTTGAGACAGAATTTTGCTCTTGTCGTCCAGGCTGGCATGCAATGGCATGACCTCGGCGCACTGCAACCTCCGCCTCCCAGGTTCAAGTGATTCTCCTGCCTCAGTCTCCAGGGTAGCTGGGATTATAGGCGCACACCACCACGCTCAGCTAATTTTTTGTATTTTTAGTAGAGACGGTGTTTCCCCATGTTGGCCAGGCTGGTCTCGAACTCCTGACCTCCAGGTGATCCACCTGCCTCGGCCTCTCAAAGTGCTGGGATGACAGGCAAGAGCCACTGCGCCTGGTTAAGTTTTGCCTTCTTATTTCAGCTCTCATACTGCAAACCTGTGTCTTCTTTGCAGTACACTTAGTGCCACATTTTTGGCATTTTATGCTTTTTCCCGGTGATGTTGCTGGCCATGAAGGGCAGTGCTGAAGTTCTATTGAGTGCTGCTAAGTGATGTGCCACAGAAGGCTGTAACGCGCTGCACAGAGAAAATCACCCCAGTGGTAGATGAGCTCTTTGCAGGCAGGAGTTACAGTGCTGTTGCCTGTGAGGTCAATGTTAATGAATCCACTGTATATTAAATATGGTGTCTTTTCAACAAAAACCACATGGAAAACCAAGTTATGTGTTGACTGACTGGTGAAAATGTTCCGACTGCAGGCTCACAGGAACCTAGCCTTGTGCTTCCCCTAAGGACAATGCTTCAGCACGTGCTAATTCAGTGTTCATGGCAACTTTATAGAACATAACTGTTACGAAAAATAAGAAGCAACAGTATCTGCAACAACTGCAATGTGATGTGAAAGTATTTGTGACAAAGACTAATTCAGCTGTGTTTTGTTACCTACATTCATTATGAAAGGAAATGCTAAATTTTAGCGTTTGCATTTAGAAGACAGTGAAGACTTATTTTTTTCCCCATTCAAGTTTACAGGCACTATTAATTCTGGGGATCCGTAAGGACCCTAGTTAAGAATATTTTCTCTAGTGGGATTAAATCAGTGACAGAGAGCAGGGAGGGATAGGGAAGCTGGTGCAGATTCTGGGGAGATTCAGGTCCGGCCACATTGTTTATCAATACAAGTCCCATATAGAGATTTTTTTAGCTGATCTGCTTCTTCTGGGGAGCTGACTTTATTTTTGTCACCAGGGCCTGAACCCAAAAGGCTCAGCACGAAATGAAAAATGCCAACTGTGGGTGGAAATAGACATTTTGGTAATTACTCATGCGGCAAATGGTGACCTCCATTTCAATAGCGAAGGGCAAGCCTGGTCTCTCCTCTGATAACAAGAGAGAGTATCTCTTTCTTTTTTTTTCTTTTTCTTTTTCTTTTTTTTTTGAGACAAGGTCTCATTCTATTCCCCAGGCTGGAGTGCAGCGGTGCGGTCTGGGCTCACTGCAGCCCCGACTTCCTGCTGGGCTCAAGTGATCTTCCCAAGCAGCTAGGACCACAGGCGTGTGCCACCACACCCAGCTAATTTTTGTACTTTTTGTAGAGACAGGGTTTCACCATGTTGCCCAGGCTGATCTTGAACTCCTGAGCTCAAGTGACCCTCCCACCTCCGTCTGCCGAAGTGCTGGAATTATAGGTGTGAGTCACAGTGCTCGGCTGGGAGAGAGAAATTATAATAGAGTTTTGGGGTGTTTAGATGAAGATGACACAGGAGCCCCAAGTCCCCTCACCAAGTGTGCCCAGGGAAGAAGGCACCTCTGATGGCTTTTCTTTCTCACTCTTCTCACCGTGATGAGCAAGGAGCGTGATTCAATGGGTCTAATTCAAATGTGTCAAAAAAGAGGCTGCTGATTTTGCTTTTAAATAGCAAGAAATAACAGTGTGACCTGGAGAGCAACACTAACTTCTCATTCATTTACTCATTCAGTGCTATTTGTTGTGCATCTGCAGTGGTCAGGCATTGTGTTGGGGGCTGGACACAGGAGTACACGTGACCAACCAGGTACCGATCTTATGGAGCCTGCAGTTCAGGTTTTGGTGCTTTTTTCCACAACCCCTCCAAGAATGGGGAGATGCGGAGGGCTGCATGTCAACCCAGGAAAGCCCTTCAGGTGCCTCTCAGTGGACAATTCTCAGACACCATCATTCTGGAAAACTTGAGGCTGAAGACAGTAGCTCAAGGGGCACCAGTGTAAGAGCTATTATAAGAAGTACATAAAGCACAGGGACAGAGCATTCTTAAGCCAGAGAGAAAGACTCGGTCAAATCTCAAAGAAGGAACGTGTCTGGAGCATAGAAAATGCAGGCAGAAGTGAATGAGCCTTGCCCGGGCCCCTGATCCAGGGGAGAAGGCCTGACCTCAGACTCAAGTTTTGGAGGCAATAGTGGTATTTAGTATTAATTTCCATGTAGTATTTATTTGCAGTATTTGTGTTTTCTGAAAAAGTGAGATGAGGTCACCATCCTCTTCTACCTCTCAATTCCTTGATGCTGTGCCTCAGAGTAAGGTCAGAGCTCAGGATTTGGGTACCTTTGTTTTCCTGCCTGAGCCCATTCAGAGGATGGAACTGGTTAGATGTTTGGTGATTCCCCAAGGTTGTGGGTGGTCAGGTCTAAGATAATTTAAACAGTCTTTTTTAGAGGGGTGGGAAGTGACAGGTTCAGAAAAGCCATATAGGGTGGGAGAAGGGAGGTGGTCAGGCCGGGGGACCCTCCCTTTACTCTGGAGTCTTCCTGTACAGATTAAATAAGTGTACTTTGGGTATCTATCACCTTAAATATTTGTCTTTTCTTTACACTAGAAACTTTCAAATTATTTCCTTCTAGCGATTTGAAACGAAATGTACGATAGCATTTTGTAAACTATAGTCACCCTACTGATCTATCAGACACTAGGCCTTATTTCTTTTATCTAACTGTACATTTATACCCGCTAATCAACTAATAAAATACTTTAAAGGAAAAAAATTGTATTGTCATTTTTCTGGACTTTGTGAGGTTATATGGTACTTGTCAACTTTTAAACATTTGTAATTTGTGGTGATTTCTTTCCTCATTCTAAATGTGTATTTAAGTTCATATCTAATTTTGTATTTATAGTCTTGTGTTATGTTTTTCAAGGGGGCCTCATGAAGCCTGGTCTGCCCCCTTGTGTGAGTCCTTGGCAGCTGGCCAGCCGCCTGCATAGGCGGAGCCTCAGCTCGCCAGGCCATTTTTAAGAAGTTAACAACACAGGGAGGATCAGTCCCCTGGCATGCCAAGACCTTGGGTAAATTGCTGAACATCACTGGACTTCTTAAGTGTTTTTAGAAACTCCTTTTAGAACAATTAGCTGTAAAGGGCACAGATACTCTCTTGCTTGGAATGGCACCCAAAGCACTTTATTAAAGGTTATTTCAGGAACAATGGAAGGGTTACTGATCCCAGGAGCACACAGCATTGCACGGTCATCCAGATATGCTCTTCATTGAGAGAAAGACATTTTGCAAAGATGCTGCTGAAGGAGACTCCTTTGGGCCTGTGACGTAGCAGCCCCCACAGGGTTTGTGGAATGAGTTTACCCACGCCTCTGCCTCCCTGTGCTCCCCAAGGGTGCATGCTCCTGAGAGGCTCAGTGCCCGCCTTGGTCTCCAAACACCTGTTTAATCTGGGGGTTGAATGGATTCTTCTTTCCCAGGATTTGGGGCCACTGGAGCTGCACCTTCTCCCAGAAACGATCTGCAAACAACAGCAAAGCCACCTGTGAGAGAGAACCCAAAGGAGGAGGAAAAGGGAAATTAGGACAGATCACTTACCAACAAGATTTCCCACGTGCTTTCTGCCAGAGACAGCCTCTAGGATGGCCCTGTGACTCCCAGTCCCATGTCTCTGTATAACCTCCATCCCTTGCTGGTGGTGGGGCCTATCACTTGGTTCTAACGGAGGAAATGTGGCCGTGGTGAGGAGACGCTGCTTCAGCGATGCTGTCACGTTGTGTGAGGCTTGGCCTTGCTAGTGACTCACTTCGGAGGCTCTCCTTTCTGGGCTGAAGCTGAGGGTGATCCAGCTGCCATCCAGCCTGAAGCTGGCTCATCAGTCCAGCAGACTCACGGGAATGAATCTGCCAACAGCCCGAATGAGTTTGAAAGTAGTTCTTCCCCAGATGAGTCTCCAGATGAGAACGTGGCCTGGATACCATGCTTTGATTTTCATTTGTGACACCCTAAGCAGAGGACCTAGTTAAGCTGTGACCCACAGAAACTGTGAGATCATAAGTGTGTATTGTGTTAAGCTGCTAAGTGTATGTAATTTGTTTTTTCAGTAATAGATTAAAAATTCACTTTATCAGAAATTCACTTTTTATTCATCTGTGGACAGCTAGCATTTACTGCAGGCCTAAGGCTTGGGTTTTAGAGGTGAACATGGTATGTTCTTCCTTCCAGAAAGTCTCAGCCTAGTAAGGTAACCAGACATGCAAAATGACACCACCAAGCCCACAGGGAGGGCTGGGAGGCTGATGCACACATGGGAAAGGGAAGACATGTCACTTCTGTCTGGTGGGGGAAGGGGTGGGATCTCTCTGAAGAAGGTGGTGGCTGAGATGAATTTTCTAGGAGTTCCGCAGACAGATGATGTGGGGAAACAGTGCAATGGTAGAGGACACAGCATGTGCAAAGGCTCAGAGCTGTGGGAGAGAATGACATGTTTGGGGAACTACAGGTGCTTGGGAGTGGAGGTTGGCTGGGTCCCTGAATGGGTTGGGGGGGATCCTGGCAGGCTGTGAGTACAGGGAGTCTGGCTGAAGTTCCAGAGAGGAATCCTTAGCTTAATACACAGCAGTCTCGACCCTGGCTCTCCCAGCCTGAGACTTGCTCTCTGGTTCTGCTGTCGCATGTCAGGTTTCCCTTTACCCATGATGTTAGCTGGGTCCATTCTTGGTTGTCCAGTGTCTGGCTTGTCATTAACATGCCTTTGAGGAGGACGCTCTTTCTCTGCAGACAATGCCCTCATTTAGCAAATGGGACCTGGCCAGGCCTGCGGACTCCAGATGGCTCCATCTCAACAGTGGTTTTCAATGCTGAGCAATGAGAAATATGATTGCTGAAGGCCTCCAAGAGGGGAATACATTGTTTGGGAAGGATGCTCAGGGATATCCCCGACTTCTCCCCACAGGGCAGCTCACAGTCCCCTTCCTAATAGGCAGCGGGGCCAACTCCCTCTCTGGGCCCAGCCCTCTCATCTGGACATTGAGTGGGTGACAGAAAGTGATCCAAAGTCCTTTCTGTGTCTGACTATGTGTGAGATTTTAGTAGTTAGAGAAAACTAGGCCTGATTCAGTCACTGCATAAAGTCTCCAGCATTTTAATGTGTTCTGAGCCTTCTAAGGTGGACACAAACTTCACTCATCCCACTGCATAATCTCGGTCATGTCCATGCAGTGTCTCCCCCACAGCATAACACACAGACACCATACACACATACACCACACCCCTCACAACCCCACACCACACACACCCCCCCCCCACAAACACCACACACACACCACACTCCTCACAACCCCACACCACACACACATACATCATACACCCCCCACATACAGAAACACCACACACACACCCCACACACCACGCACACCACACCCCTCACAACCCACACCACACACACATACATCACACACTCCATACACACACCACACAGCATACACAGAAACACTACACATACTACACACCACACATACATACACCACACCCCTCACAACCCCACACCACACATAAATACATCACACATCCCACACCATACACTGCACATGCCACATATACACTATACACACAACACAGATACATCCACATGCACACCCCACACACAGATACACCACACGCATCTCTCACACACACACCACACCTCCACACCACATACTCTCATATCCACACACATCCTACACACACCCCCACACACCTCAGATACCACATGCACACTCACCACATACACATATCACATACACAACCCTTACCACACACACACCACACACCACACACACCCCCTACACCCCTAATACCCACACATCACACACGCACCCTACCCCATCACACACACACACAAACACCACACATACCTCACCCCCAGACACCCCCACAGAAAGCACACAGATACTACACACACACACACAGCAAAACCGCACACCATATGCACCCCACATATACTTCTTTGCACTTAAACGCAGGAGCATGGCAAAGGCTGCCTGCATAGCTGGCCAGTGCCCCAGGGAGGGCCAGATCATCTCTCACACAAAGCATCAGGGCCTTTGGGGGCAGAGGCCTGTGACATGGCTGTTTTCCTGCCATTTTCTCAACAAAGGCTGCTGCCAGGTCTGTGTGGAAAATTACTGGTTCTTCTTTTTTTGTATTATTGGCTTTCCATTGATACACCTAAGCTGTCTCTCTAACGGTGTGTGGCATCAAGGCATTTAGTTCCCTCTCTGTGTTAATAAGGCAGGAGACAGGGTGAGGGCAAGAAGAGGGAAACGAAAATGAAGAGCTCAGATCACAGGCATTTTGCTAACTTCTGTTTGGTTTTGAGCGCAGTGCGTTAGTTGTCACCTAATAAGGAATAAAATGTTTGTAGGCAGGCATTGAGAAAATATTGAGCTGAAATAGAGACTGGCATGCTTATCACTAAACTAGAACTTGTGATAAAATGATCCTGTAATCATTCATTTCCTTTGACAAATATTTACTGAGCACCTACTGTGGGTTTCATTACCGCCATTTCCTGTTATAACTTCCATGAGGCACTGCACAGGGCAGGGCACAGCTACCCTTTCCTCTTTATCAAGTTAGTTTCTTTCTCTCTCTCTCTCTCACTTTCTCTCTCCCTTCCTTTCCTTCCCTTCCTTCCTTCCTTTCCTTTTCTTTCTTTCCTTCCTTCTTTCTCTCTCTCTCCTTCCTTCCTTACTTTCTTCACTTCCTCCTTCCTTCCTTTCTTCCCTCCCTCCTCTTTCTTTCCTCTTTCTTCCTTCTTCCTTCTTTCTTCTTTCTTTCTTTTCTTTTTTCTTTCTTTTCTTTCTTGTTTTGAGACAAGATTTTTGCTCTGTCACCCAGGCTGGAGTGCAGTGGTCAGATCTCGGCTCAGTGGAAGCTCCGCCTCCCAGGTTCAAGCAATTCTCTTGCCTCAGCCTCCCAACAGATATTCTTTTGCTTCTCTATTCATAGTCTAAAATATTAAACCAAAACCTGTTCATTCTAAAAAAGCTGAAAACCACTTAAGCAAAGAATAAAAACACAATAAAATTCATCTGTAATTAAAATAGAGGCAGCCTCTGTTAACATGGGGTGTAGAGCCTTTCTGATTTTGTATCTTTTTTTTTTTTTTTTTGAGATGGGAGTCTCACTCTGTCGCCTATGCTGTGGAGTGTAGTGGTGTGATCTCGGCTCACTGTAACATCCGCCTACCCAGGTTCAAGTGATTCTCCTGCCTCAGCCTCCCAGGTAGCTGGGATTACAGGCACATGCCACCACGCCTGGCTAATTTTTGTATTTATAGTAGAGACGAGGTTTCACCATGATGGCCAGGCTGGTCTCGAACTCCCAGTCTCAGGTGATCTGCCCGCCTCGGCCTCCCAAAGTGCTTGGATTACAGGTGTGATCCAGTAAGCCTAGCCCTGATTTTATATCTGAATACACACACACATACACACACACACACACACAGGATTCTCTTGAATATCATCTTGTAATCTGCTCTTATTGAAGTCGAATTTGGAGCACAGTAAAATGAACTCTCTTTGGTAAACAGTGCCATGAATTTGACAAATGCATATAGTTGAGTCATTGCTCCTATAATCTGTAGTCTTATCATATTTACTTTGCTCTACATTATAAACATATTTCTGTGTCACTAAAGGTGTATCTGTTTTGTTTTGTTTTGTTTGTTTGTTGTTGTTTGAGACGAGTCTGCATCCTGTGCCCAAGTTGGAGTGCAGTGATGTGAACTTGGCTCACTGCAACCTCCGCCTCCCAAGTTCAAGCAATTCTCCTGCCTCAGCCTCCTAAGTAGCTGGGACTATAGGCATGCACCACCACGCCCGGCTAATTTTGTATTTTTTTTTAGTAGATGGGGTTATTCAGTGCATGAGTATGCCATCAGATGGTGCTGACTGGTCATTTACCAGTGAAACTTTTGTTATATACCCTCCACCCCAACATTTTGTTCTCAGGATGGGAGGATGGAGACACCCTTCTTCTGCCAATTCACACAACCTTGGCAGCCCAGGAGTCATCAGCTCCTACTAAGCATGTGTGTGGAATAATATCTATTCAGAAGCATGCTAGGAATAGTGCTCTGATTAAGTAGGATCTTCTGGTTAACAGAGGTTCTTTTCCAGGTATTTTCCTTTGTAGTTGAATGTCTTTCAGAGCCCACTTTCTTGTTAAATTTGTATATAAATACATCAATTCATAAGACAGTAAAGCCAGAAATTAGTTCACAGTTCATCAAGTTAGCTTCTTGTAATACAGCGTGATGCTTTATTCAATCACCTGATGATCTGGAATCATGCTGGGCCATCCTTACATTGGCCTGTGACTGCTATGGAGAATGTGGGAGGAGAGTGGGCAGGATCTATACTGACTCCAGGATGCACTTGACTTTGATTCCTTGAGTAAAATCTCTGATAAGAACTTGCCTTGCTGTCCTGTGACTCTGTGTTTGAGTCATTTAAAAATCTTTTTAAAATACAACTTTTACTCGTTTGTCTCGTCTCTC